TTGTTGTTGTAATTGGGAAAGGTTGTTTTTTTAAGGGGGGTTTTTTTTTTTTTGTAATTTTGGTAAGGGGGGGGTTTTTGTTGGGGTTTGGGGAAAAGGTCCCGGGGGGGGGCGGGGGGGGGGTGGGAGGGGTATTCGGGGGGGGGGGGGGGGGGGTACTAATGAGCTTGCATTCCGTAGTCGTAACAACATTCGTGTGTGTATTTCGTGTGGAATATGCACCGCGCATGCGACGGGGAAGATGAGATGTTGCTTCATAGACGTATGCCACTCCTAGGCGTCGTCACCAATCCTTCTACACATGTCACGTGTTGCTGTTGCTCGGTTGGTGAAGCTACGGGCCTCCGTCGTCTGGATTTGGGGCAGGCATGTGCGGGAAAAGGGGGGGCTGTGTGGGATTTAGCCCCGACTCTACTCTTCATACTTTCCGACTGAGGGCGTGTTCTCTTTTGCTGTTCTCGTGGTGTCGAAGCTTTCCTCACACTTTTTCTTCCGGGGAAGCTCCACTTTTGCACACCACAATGGCGTGTTGTTTCTTGCGGGGAGAAATCTCGAATGAACCGAAAAACACCACCCTTGTCAATGCGTGACCTACACGATGCCGCGGTCCCCGATTCGCCGACGAGACTTGTTTTTTTGTTGTTGGCATCGACCGCGCTAGTCGGCTTTCCAATGAAAAGTAAGCATCAATGCCAGTGCGGTTGAAAACAGAAAATGCTTCCTAAAGCCATGGTCTGGTGTGCATGTGTGTGTGTTCCTGAAAGGTGGCGGCGAGGAGGCTGGTGTGGGACAGCCTGGACAGGAACGGCGACAGGGCCGCCCTGCTTTCAAGGTTTTCCTCGGAAGTAGGAGGCAGCGACCGTTTCGACCTCATCATTGCCTCCGACTGCTTGTTCTTCAAGGTACATTCGTTTTTTTTTGTGCTGAGGCGAGGTTTGGTTGGGAGCGATTGCATGCTGCTTGTCTTGATCTCCGATCTTGCGCGTTCGTGTTTTCCTTGAACAGGAGTATGCTATTGGGAAAACAGCGCGTGCGACGATAGTGTGGCATTCTAATGCGCAGCTAGCTCCCTGGACATACATGATCGGTCAAAACCCTCCCCCTCCCTGCGGGAAGGAAAGTGATATCGATTGGATAGATGGGATAGGGAAAGTAGACATTTTGGAGCCACCTTTGGCAAACGTAGATAGGAAAGATTGACAATCAGTGATCGGTCCTGTGGAAGCAGTCCTCCGCCCTCTCGAGGACGCGTGGTCAACGGTCTTGACTGCTACGGCATGCACAACATGAGAGTACACGCCCGCCCCCTTTTGTTTGTGGCCGCCTCAGGACTTCCACGATGACCTGATCAGCACAATCGGAGGCCTTCTCCGGCCGGGCGGGCGAGCGGTCCTCGTCCAGCCGCAGCGGGGCGGCACTGTCAACCTCTTCATGCAGCGCGTGGCAGCAGCAGCAGCAGCAGCAGCTGCCGCTGCTGCTACATCTGCCACCGTCTCCGAGAGCACCAAAGTGTCGGATGTCGCTGCCCAAAGCGTTGGCGATTGCGGCGGCGGCAGCGCAAGCAGCAGTTGCCGGGTGGAGGCGAGGTTGGTTGACCGATTCGACGACAAAATCTGGGCGATGCACCAAGGCTACATGCGTACGAGCGGTGGCGGTGCTGGAGGTGACTCGCCGCCGCCTTCGGTGGTAGCAGCACCGCCATCGTCCGGTGCAGCTGTCTCGGCAGCACCGTCACGCGAAGCAACAGAAGCAGCAGCAACAGCAGGAGCAGCAGCGACAACACCAAGAGAAACACCAGTACCAGCAGGAGGAGGAGCAGGGGCAGCACCATCAGTACCGACAGCAGGAGCAGCACCATCAGCACCACCAGCAGCAGCAGCAAACGCAGCAACAGCACCATCATCAGCAGCCCCAGCGCCACCAGCAGCGACGTATCTTCCAGACGAACACCAGCCACTCCTGGTGGAGATAGTAAGCGTCGAGGGAAAGAGAAAGGCGGCCGGAACTAGCGGGGACGGCACGCCAGAGCCGGAAGCAAGCGCCAGCCACCTGTCGTGGACCTCCTGGTCAGGGTATGCCTCATCAAGGACAGCTCCCACAGATGGCACCACGATCATGGTTGGTGGAAAAAATGCTGAGGCCGTAGGTGAGCGCGACAGCGTAGATGACGGTGGCGGGGAAGGTGGCGGTGGTGGTAGTGGTGACTCTGGAGGCGGTGTTCAAGCGGCGCCGGATCTCCCGCCGGCGACGCTCCCGCTGCGGTCGGAGGCACCGCTTCCGCCCGCCGCGCCGTTGCTGCCGTCGAGCACCGCCCCTGCGGCGCCGACAACGATGGTGGCGGCGGCGACGGCTCCAGAAGACCAACAGCAGCAACAGCAGCAACAGCAGCAGCAGCAGGGAAAGCAGCAGCGGCCAGACCGTCGAATGGTTGACGTGTACGAGGCGCTTGCCGAGCGCATCAGACTCGAGGTCCGAGAGCGGCGGAGGAAGCAGGCCGCGACGGCGGCCGAGCCGGAGACAAGTGCTTTCGGACACGCCGCGGGGTCAGGGACGGGCGTGGGTGGAGGACAGGATGGACATGCGGCGGTGGAAGGAGTCAAGCAGGAGCAGCAACAGCAGCAGCAATTGTGGGTAGCTGTTGCCGGGGCTCCAGGATCGGGGAAGACAACTCTAGCGGTAAGAACACACGGAAAGCTTTATGATCTTTAATGAATCTACATGCTCGTTCTTCGTCAGACATACCGCAGCAGACATGGGTACTTGTCGTTGTTTTTGTGTCCGACGTTTAGTGGACTGCCAGCTTGTGATGTCCCCTTTCCCTACTTACCGTCAGACGTTGCTCTACGTCGCGTTCGTGGAAGTACCCCTTTCTGCGCTCAGAAGGTGCTAGTGTTCTTGTTGCTTCTCGATTTGGGCTGTACTTTGGGCTCGCTTTTGGCTGAACGAAATAACTCAAGAGCGTAGGATCACTCCTCTTTTCCATAGCCCTCTCTCTCGTCGTGGTAGCTGGTTGTGGTTGTTGTCTCTTGTTATGGCCGCTGGTGCTGTTGTTCCCTACCGCGTCTAGCTGCCCCTTCCTTTCTCGACGTTTTTTTTATCATTTTTCTCATCCTCTCCCCACCCCCCGACGGTGCTTTCCACACTCCCCAATGCCACAAAAGGCGGAGGTGTGCCAGCGCGTGCAGTCCGAGGAGATATCGGCGATCTGCCTGCCAATGGACGGCTACCACCTCTACAGGTCAGAAGCCTAATCAAACCGTCAGATTTTTCCGCGGACGAGTATTTAGGACCTTTCGGTGCACGCGTTTCATTGGAGAGCGTGTTTATTCGTTGCGAGGAACATCACTGCTGTTGAACTTCAAACGACGGGGAACGTAATTCGCCAACGCATGAACTTTCAATGTCCAGTCCAACTCGTACGGGCCCTGACTTGTTGTGTGCTCACCGCACGACTCCCATTTGCTTCGGCTTGCACATAACCCGGACGGTACACACGGCCCCGGAGAGGCTCGGTTCCTATCAATAGACTTTTTCGGCTCTCGGGAAAACGGGCGCGCAGGGATACACACGGGCACGTTTTCATCAAAGTTTGTGATCCTGCTATGATATTCCAGTTGGGACTTGACATATGTGCGTCTAGTGAGAGAAGTGGGCCTGGAAGCCGATGACGAACTGCCATGTCGATACGCCAAGGGTTCGCGAAACGGTGCTTGCACATACATATCCCGCCCGTGTCTTTGATCTCACTTTCCCCCTAATTTCCCCGTTCCTGTCCAAGGACACATCCAATGTTCTCAACCCCCTCCGGCCCTTACCCCCGGCCTGGGCCTGCGAAAACACGGCATATCTGTCCTTCCCGGCATTGTAAACAGGAGAGGTCAATGGTCTAACGACGACGAAACACGTTTGCATGAGTACACCCACCTCTTCCCCTCCGGTGTGAACGCTCATTCGCTGTGTAGCCGCACGAGAAGAGCCCTCTCTCCCTCTCCCCCCCCCCCTCTCTCTCTCCCTCCCTCTCTCTCTCTCTCTCTCTCTCTCTCTCTCTCTCTCTCTCTCTGTTCGACCTCGCACATCATATCATTCCACGATTCACTATAACAGTTTGACTCGATGACATACGCGAGACAGGCGGGAGCTAGACCTGCTGCCAGACCCGCGGGAGGCTCACCGGCGGCGGGGGGCTCACTGGACGTTCGACGGGAGGCGCTTCTTGTCGGAGCTAGGGGACGCCCGGAGGAGCGGGAGAGGGAGCTTTCCCGGGTTCGACCACGCCAGGGGGGATCCGGTGGAGAACCAGTGGATGGTGAGCGGCTACCGGTGTTGAGGTTGTTGGCTTTCATCGGATGGGTGCTTTGTGTGTGTGCAGGGCCGCGGTGATTGGGAGAAAGGGGTGGGTGGGGGGTAGCGGATTCCTCGAGAAGCGTACAGCGACGCTGGCCAGGCACGTCACTAACGAAGGAATTGTTTTGGTTTCAGTTGCAGTACAGCAGTGAGGCGTTTTTTTTAGCGTGGGCAACGCCTTATGTGGTTGGTTTTCCACCAAATGGTCAGCATACGGCCACTGAGAATCGTCACTGCTGGCATCAATTTCTGATGTTGCGTTTGGTGTCGCCCCGTATCACACGAACAGGTGCAGCCCTCTCACTCAGTCGTCATAGTGGAGGGAAACTACCTGCTGCTCAAGGGGGTAGATCCCTGGAACCAAGTGGGAGGTCTTTTCGACGTCACGTGGGCCATTCGATGCCCTCCAGAAGTCTGCGGAGAAAGGTAAGCCTGCTTGTCGCCGATTTCACAAGGGTGGTTGAGCTGCACGAATTATAACATGTATGAATCGTCAATATCGAACGTCACCCGAAGTTCAAACCACCCCCCTTCCCCATCCGACGGAATTCACAGTGAACATTGACCCGGTTTTGGCGAGGAGAGTTCCGAGTCCGCGTTGTGGAATTCACTGCTCCATCGTTAAAGTCTTATGTGACTACAGGTCCGATTCGGTTGCGTTTGCATTTCCGATAACTTTGTGTGCCGAAAGATCGCTGGCGTTCCTTGGCCTACGGGAACAACCTTGCGTAGCGACCAATGACCTAGGTCGTTCAACAAAAGTCCCCCCCATTCGGACGCTGCCCTACCTTCCGTCATCATCAAGGGTAAGAAGAAGGCACATGTCCACAGGTCTGGAGGAGGAGGAGGCTCGTGCCAGGGTCGAGGGAAACGATCTGCTGAACGCGAGGCTTGTATCTGAGAAGTGTCCTTGGAGCGAGGTCGACGTCGTAATCGACAGCCTCTAGAGGTTGTCGCGATGCCTGCCTGATCATCAACAACATGTGGTTGTTTTCGTTTTGACCAAGAGTCTCGCGGTGTGTATTCATGCTCCTGCAGACGGAGCATGTCGAATAGGAGTTTTAGCTGCGAGATAAGTTTGCTTTCGTCACACGCCAGCGGCATCACCACAAAGTTATCGCTCTTGGAAGAAATGACGTGTCATTTGACCTGCCTAGGCGTGGGTAAAGCGAGCCGCCCCGACAGGCAGTCTTCTTCTGTCGTTTTGCAGCGGTTACTCTTCGGCGAGACGAAAACGTCATTTGTCTTTGTTGTTGTTGTATAGGGAAGCCTGCGCCAAGATTATTCACTGCCGGCGGGTTCGGTTTTCATAACTTGACAGTTGTCTCTCTGAACCCCGGGTTATTGCAGCACAAACATGCTGGTGGTCGCCCCGCTCACCACATATTGGTGCACGTGTTTGATCACAACTTGAATGCATCTCGGCTTCCTCGGCCATGTTCGGACCACTGTAGGATCTGCGTGCGGTTCATCAAATCGATCCAAAGAATGGCACCGGGCCGGGCTCTCGAGGAAACACGGATGTATGGCCCTCTTCGCGCGTAGCCGCGAAGCAACAGTTGCGCGGCCATTTTGTCGAGACAGAGGATGGAAACAGAGTACAGTGACTCTTGTAGAGAAACCCGTCAGACAGCCAGGTAATGTTACCGTTGACGCCAATAGTGTTAAGGGCATCTCAAAGAAGCAGCGAGTGAGTGACAGGGTGTACCGCGATCTCTGTGCTTGGCAGGAAGTAGACCAGATCCCCGAGGTGGGGCTGAACATTCCAACTCGGACGCGAGAAGCGGAAGTGCAGGAGATATTTGGCGCCAGGAAGAGAGACCCTCGATCAAACCTGCACCAACAGCAGTACACTAGACCTTTAGCCATAGGGATGAATGCAGGAGCTATTTTTCGACAACGACATGTTTTCCGCCCTGCTCAGGTGGTAATCGTCCGGTGTTCAAATGATATATTCCCAAGCGAGGGTGCCGGAAATTTAATATAGCCCAGGCACCATCAGAGAAGTTTTCAGAAAGTCGTGAAATACATTATGCCCACGGGGAAACCACGCATACCAACCAGCCCCCGCCTTGTGTAGTGAAATCCTCCATCACGACCAACGGAACACTCGAGAGTACAACAACCGAGAGCGCAGTATTTTTCATTCCGCGAAGGTGGAAGGACACGACCAACAGGGACAGCATCGAGAACCGCTGCTTGAGGAAAGTCTGTGTAACTTCACAAGAAACTCATTGGGGACACTCCCAATGAAGATTCAACCGGGCTCGCGTTTCTTTGTAGAAAAATGTATTTGCGCTTGAAGAGCTTGCACACCGTGCACTGCTTGCAATGTATTTTTTCATTCGGCAATCTATCTCTCCTTCAGCTGTCTGCCAACGCCTATTCACACCTCTAGTGTGGGCACCGTAAGCTTGTGGAGCCACACCCATGGTACGCCATACGCCAACCTATCACACGATTTGCACCCCCAACACGAGCACGGAACAACAGTACCAGGGTTCGGATCAGCTCTACCCATGCACTCTGCTCAGACAAGTAATGGGCGAGTTTCATGCACCGGCAAAGTGAAAGAGGACCAAATGCTGCCAAGGGCAGCGGGATGGCGAGCGAATTCTTCAAATCTGCTCGCCGTTCAAAGACCTGGCGTACGTATAGAGAAAAACTAACGCTGCGGTGAAAATACAGTGATCGCGATCCCCTCTTCATAAAGGTCGGGTAGAAGAACAGTGAAACCATTCTCAAGCGATGACTATGATGCGAGATGTATGAAATGTTTGTACTCTACTATGTTTCAAGCACCCGCAAGTCAAAGAGCACAATGCTGCCAAGGTTATAGCGTTGGGGGGTCCCTTGATTAGCTCGCCGTCCAACGTCCGAGCGTACATGACCGATCAACGCACTAGCATAATTAACGTACGGGGGCGCGTGCAACCATGCCTTATTAAAGCGCTTCCTTTCAAGCGCAGAATGACCGTTCGAAACGTTCTGAGCTCCAAGCCAGATGTACCAGGTTATTCAGGGGACAACATGGTTCGCGACATCCTCGATGGCTCCGCGTCACTCCATGGGCTGCGTGTTTGACACCGGCTGTGGTTTAGATTCACTCTTTACGGTGGTCAAGTGAATATCAAAGAGCAAGATCAAAAAAGATATGTTCAATGCTTGCTTGTGATACATAGGGCCATACAGTAATGCGGATTCACTCGATATTAAGGTCGGGTGAAACAGTGAATACTCAGGGTACATGCTGTCGCCTAACGTACGAATTCCTTGGGTTCCTTGCGTGCTCGCGTGTGCGTTGGTGGCCATTCGCACCAGCAAAAACAGTTGAGGCTTCCATTCGACCTCGTATCGTACCTGGGAGCAGACGGTGATCTTGCTTGTGGCTGTACGGACAAGATGGAGTGGCGGACGGACCAATCCCGTGTTACAGAGGACAGAACTGGGACACCGCCCTGGTTGGGCAACTAGGTTCGCCGATTATCTGACCTTACACTACCGTCATCTGGGCGGTAGCCCTACAAAGTAGACAAATTTCGAACCAACGTTTTTCACACCACCCTTGCTCAAGAATGCGGGTTGAAGCTAAGACGGGTCACGACCGTAGGACAACGAAACTTTCCCCACCTGCCACAATGAGCGTCACGCCAAACTTGATCATTTTTTTCATTAGAACGTCTATTTGACTACTGTACACCTTGCAGCGGAGCGTTTTCGGCCTGAACCGTCGATGCGACAAGCGAGGTGGATGCAGATGCATACCAACTGGAGCATTGCACTCATCCGGTATCGCAGGTACGAGCCGCTCAGAATGGGCAGGATCATACAGTACACCCACCTCTGTTGCCGGGCATCGTATGTTCACCCCCACTGTACGGCAACAGACGAAAATATTAGCCCCATCGCACTCTGAACCCCAAAGAGAAATAAATTCACAGTTCAAAACGGACTGATTGTACCCTCGCGAAACGTGGATGCTTTGACTTCCTCTCCCTTTTTCCACTCATCCCTCCCACTAATAGTAGTGGGGGAACCTGCTCTCCATCTGGATGGTCAAGTGCTGCTTACACTGAACAACGGGCACAAAAAAATCGCGAAGAAACCCAACGCGTCATGTAGGTCATCGAGTCGACGGGAAGAGTGCGACCGGGCCACTCCATAACCCGGCAAGACGCAGATCTTGTCCTAACAAACGGTTTCTTCACGGCTGACCACGCGCGCTTCAGGACCTACTGAGAGGTGGAGGGCTGCAAACAAAAATGAACGACATAGATGGTAGGAGGGAGGGGGGTGCAGCGCTTTGAGACCAATGAATATCCAATGGTTGTGCGTGACACAAATTCAGTTCCTTCGTGCGGTGTTGAGGTGAGCCTCAAGGGCATATACTCGTTACCATGTCCTCCCGTATCGTGCCTTGACACCCTTCCTTGTCACGACAAAAACAACTCGTGGTGAGCAAGGACAAGCTCTCAGGGCGGTATCCGGAGAAAAAACAGCATTTCACAGCACATCACCAAGCCGCAGATGCTACAATGCGAGAACTACACCAGGTGGTGAAACTGCGGTGCCCCCGCGTAGTTCACCTTATCGGGGCGGCGAGGGCGGGGACGAAGTGGGGGCTCAGGTCAGGTCCGCGATCTCGTCTTTCAGCTCTCCGGCAACCTCCAACCACCATCCCTTGAAAAAGAATTACCGAGGCGGATGACGGTGGGGGGACGCGGCATTAGGCAGGTCCTCTTCAAACAGTTTCCGCGTGCGCAGCCGCGATGCTTGCCAGGCTGCTCTATGCCATTTCACAACGCTATGCATGGCGAGGGTGGTAGGGCTGAGAGTTGGAGTACATTGTTCATGACGCGGTCATAATCCCTTGGAAGAGTGATGCTCGAAACGGTTTTCGGCTGCGAGGTAAACCATGTTGGCGGCATATTGTATCGGGGTGCCCCCCTCGAGATACGCACGGGTTAACTCGACCGCAAGGCATCCACGGGTGGAACCTTCTCAACATCGCTCGGGCAATCATACCCCCGATGGCAACGCACCAATCAAAAACGTGCGCTTACCTGCTTCTCGATATTTCTTTCACGGGTGGAGGCGACGGCGGCGCCCGGGCAAGGCCAAACCTCGTCACCAGAGGGAGCTTGTTGAGGAAGGCCAAGAAAGGAGAGCCCGTGTCAGCTTCCAATGTAGGAACGAAGACAGGGTCCTCCATCGGGACATTGTTGTTGCTCCCCTCTCCGGCGAACGACTTCAAACCTCGGTTGTAGGACGGCATGGCCTTCAAAGAAAGCAAAAGGGGCAGCAGGGCGGGGGGGGCATAGAGAGGAGCGCTAGATATTGAGCGTCCGTCAGTTTCATCTTGTTGGCCGTAAATATTTTTCGTAGACTATAGGGCTGATGCTTCGTGCTAACCGCGCTACGTCTGCTTGCAGCACCCACGATTGCCGTATACCGTTAACATCCATTGTGTGGGTAGGCACAGCCGTGAATGTACTCCGACCAATGCCACACGGAGCATCACGAGCGGCAGTTGCGAGGGAGTGACGCGTGCGTTGCGCTTACCTCTACTAGCAGCGACAGCACCAGCGCGTGGTCACCGTCCTGCTCTACTGCAGCAACAGCAGAGGCACGCTGCCAGGCCTGTGCTGAGATGCACAAAACGTCGTGCTCTACTGCAGCAACAGCAGAGGCAAGCTGCCAGGCCTGTGCTGAGATGCACAAAACGTCGTGCTCTACTGCAGCAACAGCAGAGGCATGCTGCGAGGACTGTGCTGAGATGCGCCCATCTCTTTCATTTTCCTCGCCTTGGCGTACGCCCGCTGCTTGCCCGCGACGTGCTGGTAGAACGTGTTGGGCATTGCGGGCTTCGCCGCCTGGAGGAGGGCG